TTTTCTGGAAGCTTAAGTTTCAACATTAGGTTGTCTATTTGAGGTCATTCTGCTTTCCTGATATGTGAATTCGTTGCTGTAAATTTTCCTCGTAGGACTACTTTCATTGCATCCCATAAGTTTCAGTATGTTGTACTGGCATTATCGTTTAATTGTATATACTGTTTAATTTCCTCTCTAATTTCCTCTGTGACCCATTGATTGTTCAGAAAGGTATTGTTTAATTTCCATGTGCTAGTGTAGTTTTTGTGATTTCCTTGTCACTGATTTCCAGTTTCATTGCACTGTGGTCAGATAATATGCATGGCATGATTTCAATTGCTTTGCATTTACTCAAACATGTTTTGTCAGCTAATATATGGTCTATTCTGGAGAACACCCATGTGCAACTGGGAAGAATAGGAATTCTGATGTTTTGGGTGGAACACTCTATAGACACCTGACAAGTCCCTTTGTTGACAAGCTTGTTTTAATTCTGATATTTCTTTGTTGAATTTTTCTGTACTTGATTTATTTGTCAAAGTGGTGTATTAAGAGTCCCCACTACAATTGCATTTGTACTTACTTGGTTTTTCATGTCTGTTAACATTTATTTTATGTAGTTGGATGAACTTGTGTTTGGGGCATAAATATTTATGATTGCTATCTCTTCTTCTTGGAGTTTTCCCTTAACAAGTATGTAGTGACCTTTTTGTCTCTTTTGATTAGTTTTGACTTAAATTTGTACTCTCTGCAAATAGAATAGCTATTCCTGCTTTTTTGATTCCTGTGGCATGGAGAATTTTTTCCATCCTTTCACTTTTTACCTTATGAATTTCTTTTTAGGTTAAATGTATTTCTTGAATGCAGTATATTGTTCAGTCTTGCTTCTTTATCCATTCTACTGATCTGTTTATTTTGATTGTTGAGCTGAGACCATTTACACTGATGGTTATTACTCATATAACTGGCTTTTCTTTTTCATGTTGTTTTCCCGTTGTTTGTTCCCTGTCCTTCTCCTCTGTTTAACTGCTTGTCCTGACTGGTGGCTTCTTTCTGTTGGTGTTCATGTGTTTGTGGTCTTTATTATCTCTTTCTAATATGTCCTTCAGAGCATTCTGTAGAGCTAATTTGGTGATCATGAATTTCTTCAGTTGTTCTTTGTCATGGAAGTATCTTATTTCTTCATCAATTTTGAAAGATAGTTTTGTGGGGTACATCAATCTGGGTTGAAGATTGTTTTCCTTTAAGGCTTAAAATACCAAGCTCTCCTTGACTTGGGGGTTTGTATTGAGAAGTCTTCTGTGATTCTGATGGGTTTTCCTTTATCAGTGAATTGTTTCCTTTCTCTAGGTGCTTTTAATATTTGGTTTTTATGTTGAATTTCTGGAATCTTTATTATTATGTGCCTTGGTGTAGATTTATTTTAATCATGGTTTTTTGAGGTTCTATATGCTTCATTTATTTTCATGTCAAATTCTTTATCCATGCTTGGGAAGTCTTCTGCCATTATTTCTGTGGAGAGATTTTTAATGGCTTTTTGCTCTATCTCCAGCTTTCTTAATGTAACTGTTAGGTTTATTTTTGGTGGTCTACTTAGTCACATTCTTGTCTTTTAGATCTGATATTCTATCCTAGCCTTCATTCAGTCTGGTGTGTATACGTTTAATGAAGTTTTTAATCTACTGCATTTCTGTTTGGATCTGTTTTACTGATCCCATTTCTTGTCTCTGTTTTTCATTCTTGGTTTCCATCATTTTCCTGAGCTCCTGTATTTGTTTGTCTATGACTGCTTTAATGTCTTTTATTTTGATAGTCATTTCTTTTTGCACCATAGAGATTATTTTTTCTATGGCCTCTTCCACTTGTGTTTTTATTTCTACTGTTATCATTTTAGAGAGTTCCATCTATTGGCTTCTAATTTCCTGTATTTCTTTGTGCTCTGGAGTTGTCCTGGGTGGGCTGGGCATTTGGGATTGCAGTTTGTTTCTTCATCTTGTCATTTTCTATTTTCTACTTTGTTTTCTGTGCTGACGCTTGTAGATTTCTTATGTTAGATAACCTTATCACTGGTGTTGAGGCTTTCCTAGACAGTGCATGTTCCTCTGCATGTCTTCCAGATGTAAGTAGTTCTTGATCTTTATGCCTGTCCCAAGAACCTACCTTCTGAATATATTGAGACTGAGGAAGTCTCTATTGCCTTAGGTCCCACTCCTTTGGTATTAGACAATAATGATGGTTATGACCTCTTAAAATTGCAGTGTTGTCATACAGGGGGGAAAACTGTTTATAGCATGTATGACATCCTGCTTAAAGTAGTTCAGTTGGCAATAACAATAGACTCAAGTACAGCCTATCTACTGACAAACTGTGGTAACTATTAGCCTGATATGTTTATCTGTAGGAGGAAGGCCTACAACAATATAATATAATCTGATTTATACCAGGATCTTGTATGCCATGATTTTCCTCTTAGTAATGTGATTTTCCACTCAGTAGTGGGGGTGCTCAAGAGGACAAGGGGCAAGATGGAGACATGAATGAGATTAAAGATAGTAGGAGCAAGGTTGGAGGGCACAGGATGATCATCCAGGTTTGGAATAATAGTAGGACACAGGAAGGAAGATTTGGAAGAGAAGGCGTAGGAGTTTTAAAGTGAACCAGAAAGAGAAGAGACAATGATTACTCCCATGAAATTATCATAAAGTCAAACAAGATAGCTTACAAAAGAGGAAGAGGGTAGGTAGAATAAAACAAAAATTAAGATTAGAGATCTAAATTATGAAAGAGAAAGGAAGAAAATAAAGAAAAGAAGAAAGAAAAAATAGTAAACAAAAATATCCTCACACACCAAAAAAAATAACAACATATAGAAAGAAAGAAAAAACAAGACAAAGCAGAACAGAGAGAAAACAAGACAGGAAAACTAACAAACAAAGGGAAACAAACAACAAAAATAAACAGAACTCTAATCCAGCCAAGTACAAAGAGGGAAACCAATCAGATGGAGAAAAATGAAAGCAGTGAAATTCCTCCAGTGCCTATTTTTCTGTGGTAGGTCCAAGTAGAATTCCAGAAATGTATACTCTGGTCAAGTTTACAGGTGGGTTTTTGCTGTGTTTGGGTGTGATCTTTGTCTCTGCATTTGGATGGGGTTAGTTTTCTGTGGCAGGGGTTCTCCCCAGTCATTTAGAAAAGAAAAAGAAAATACAAGAAAAGAGAAGAGGGCAGCCCTACCTGCCTGCTTCTATTCCTCCTGTTTTTGTCCCCAAGCACAGCACTGGTGCTCCTAACTTACCATCTGTTGGCTCAGGTTACTGCTGCATGGGACATTTCCACACCTCTAGTTCACCTGTCCACCGTGTGCACCTTAGCCAGGGCCCTATGGTGTCGCTGGCATTCTTGCAGGTCTCCAAGCCCTGAGTCCAGCCAGTGGAGGGAGGGACTCAGGCCCTTAGTCCCTCCAGATCTCAGACCTCTCTCTCCAGCTGTGCTGTCCCAGGTCAGTGGAGTAAGGGAGGAGCTGAACTCAGACCCCTCTCACCAGCTTCACCATCCCGGGACATGAGTTATGTTTGTACATAACTTTTCTTTAAAATTTTTAAATTTCAAAACACATACTTATTGTTATTAAGTTCTGACATTATAAAAAATTAATCATTTTGAAGTGAAAAGTCCCTTTATCTACATATCATCCTCCCGCTACCTCTAGAGATAATTAGTAATAATAATCTGTGTATATTCTCAGTTTTTCCTAGTTGTATGCTAACACATATTTTTATTTCAGTATGATCACATTATCCACTGTTATCACAAGTGGTGTTCATTTACTTAAAAATACGTCTTCAGTGTCTGTATCAATATATTTAGCTCCTTTTCATTCTCCACAGCTGCCAAGAGCAGGAACCCAAGGATGCATTTGGAGCTCTCTGGGCACCTTCCCACAAGGCCACCTAGAATTTAGATGTAACTGGAAAAGGCCCATTGGCTGATCCTTATACTGCCAGCCATGGAGCCTCTCTCAATGGGCACCTGGAGAGGGACTCAAAGAACTTGTCAGCCCACCTCGGGAGACCAGAATTTTCCCAGTGTAACAGTAAGGATGAGATGAATGAAGAGAACACATTCGTGCAACAGTTAATCCTGAGGGTCACAGAAACATTACAGATGCAGCACCCTTGAAGCAATGCTCCTCTTTGGAGAATGGAAGTCAGGTCACACACACACAACCCACTTGATGCAGGATGGAACATGTATTTGAGAATGTTAAGATCAAGCTAACATATGAAGGTTACTACAGCAGGCCATTGTTCATCCCCACTTCACTGTTACTGCTTCCAAATCAGCTTCTTACCACTCAGCTATTTAGTCTTGAAGTGACTAAACCCTCTTTCATCTTTTCTATGCTTTCATTAGCTGCTCTTTGTCTTTTTTGCTTACAAAAGGCAAGCTATTTTAAGACAAATGTCAATATGTCAGACATTAAGTACCCATTCCCACGCAATGCAGTGTGTATAATTACATGTTCTATTGTAAAAATTTAATATTATTTAATTGATGCACCAGACGTTCACCAGGTATGACGACTACTCTGTACAGAAAGCCTAGTGCATTGAGGTCTTTATCAAGCAATGTAAAAAGGGGTTTGCCATTCCTATCATCTTGTTTTGAAATCCTGTATTATTTTTATTATTTTTGTGTTGTTTTGTTTTTGTCTTTGTTGTTATTTTGTTATTGGTTTTTTTTTCTCTTTAAAATATGTAAACAATGTTAGGGAATTTTTAACATAAAGGGGGTACAAACTTGTTTGACAACAAAATAAGTGACATGAGGTCTGCACCGACTAGTAGCATTTTCACAGCTCAACATGAGGAGATACAGTAGTTCTAGGTGAGACTGGGGGTCAAGGTATATTCATTTTTGCTTCAAAAAAGTCCAACTTAAACTTTCAGTGATATAATTTTAAGAAGTCAAAATTCCTAGTCTTGCAACTTATGGCTGTCTCCACCTGTGTCTTTCAGATACTATTGTCCTTATTGCATCAATAGCAGTCGTTTCTGCAAAAACTCAGGGTAACATTTTTGCCACGTCTGCACTCAGAAGTCTTCGTTTCCTGCAGATCCTCCGTATGGTGCGCATGGACCGAAGGGGAGGCACCTGGAAATTACTAGGTTCAGTGGTTTATGCTCACAGCAAGGTAAGATTTCTTTCCTGACTTTTAGAACAAGATGTTTGAAACATTTTCATTGATTACTGTCATATTTAATATACTTAGTCATTTCAGAAACTGGTTAAAGCTATTTTTGGACATAGTATATAGTGGATTATTTTTGAACCATCACAACTACCCAAGAAGGGGTGAAATGAATGGAATCACTCTCAAAATTTTTTTCCTTTTTCAAAGCTATTTTTCACCTCTAACAATTTTCCACTCTTTTTATATCTAGGAATTAATCACAGCTTGGTACATAGGATTTTTGGTTCTTATATTTTCATCTTTCCTTGTCTATCTGGTGGAAAAGGATGCCAATAAAGAGTTTTCTACATATGCAGATGCTCTCTGGTGGGGTACAGTAAGTACAAAAATTTGTTTTATTTATTGGCTATTGTGAAATGTTTCCTTTAACCATAATGTAATAGCTCCAATGAATGATCTCAATGAAAATGTTAATTTCCAAAAGGAAAGTATGGGAAAATACACACTACTCATAATTGTCTGAGGAGTTTCCGTGTCTCTTCAATCCAGTAAAGCCAAGTTCTCTCATAAATCATCATTTTTACTTATTGAGTGATAGTTACCTAAAGAAAAATATATCATTTTAAAATAATGATTTTAAATTGATTAACTTATTCATTTGTGTGTTTTAGCATTGTGGAGTCCAGGCTTAAATTGTTAACTGTTGCATTTATTTTTCCATTCATCAGAAAGTTTATCTGGTATTTAAAAAGTAAATGGCAGCTGCACAAAATTTAAGAGTAAAATACAACACACACAAAAAAATGCAATGAAAAGAGATGATTGTGAACTAGCTGTGAGATTATGTACATCTTATTTTAAAACATTCCACTCAAAGTCCAATTTTCCTTTCTATTTCTATTGAAGAATACTTTTCCAAATAAATAAATAAATGTAAAATCATAATTTTCATAGAAAATAAACATGGGATAACCATTTTATTTAACTTATTTTTATATCATTAACCATGAAGAAATCAGTAAGTTGTTAAAACTAGTTCAAAAGACTATCCAAAGCACAGTGCATTTAAAGATTAGGAATGTTAAAATGAATGTATAAGTAGAAGAACAACTGGCTTCTTTCACAGTGTGAGAAGGAGTCAATTGACCCTGCATGAGACATAGCTTACTTACTTCTGTGTACACAGCAAGTATTTTGCATTGCTACCAGTGATCTACAACTTAGAGAGTTGTAAAATAGCTCAGAGGCCAAATAAAGGTGCAAATCCCCATCAAATAAGACTCCTGTAACCTGAAAGAGTATACTCTGAGCAACACAGAATTTTCCTTTGAAGCAAAAACATCCCCTCCATTGTACAGAATTTACAAAACAGTCATTGAAGTGTGTTCCATAATAAGAATTTCACAGAACATAAGAGTATTTGTGCAATATATAAAATACATTTCTTTTTTCATTAAGACATTCCAAAGGGGGAAATACACAGCTACTATAATTTTGTAAGGAATTTGTACTTTCATCTGACAAAATAAAGTTCTATTACAAATCATCAGTAGTATTTTTTGAGTGCTAGATTGTTGCCAAAATAAAAATATATCGCTGTCTCAAATTGTAATGAAAATATTAAGTTTTTTCCTTATTTGTTTCATGAACTACATATTTACATTACCAACTGTTTACTGATTACTCATTAAAAGATCACCAACAAGACCTAGAACTCCTATCCGGGACAAGGAATATTTGCCAGGGCTGTATTAAGCAGAACTAGACTTATTTGTTCTTATAGTAGTGACAAACTAATAATAATATATAGAACAAAAACCAGAAATGCATTAACTAAAGTTGAGGGCCTCTGAAAAATCATCCAAGTACATGTCTACAAGACTATGCCATTGGTCAAAAATCATTCGGTTATTTTGATAATTTGGTCTCCCACTCATCTTCTTTACCTACAAGCAATAATGGACATTCAAAGAGGAGAAGAGTAGGAGAGAGAGAGAATAGTCACCTGACATTCTCTTTTAGGAGCTGGCATTTGAGCCAAGGGCCTTCACACTGAACTACATCCCCACACCTTTTTAAATTACTTTTCAAAATTTTGAAACAGAGTCTTACTAAGTCACTAAGTTACCCAACCTGGGCTTCAACTTGAAAACCTCCTGCTTCACCCTCTTAGAGTTCTGGAATTATACATGAGCACTGACATGCCTAGCTTTAAGGCTTTCTATGTAGAGAGCAAATGAAAGTTTGTTTCTAGTGGTAGGATAAAGGTATACATGGAGAAAACAGGAGACTTTCCTAGGTAGCAAAGGGAAGGCTGTCTCTCATCCCGGCCTTTAAAGCAACAATATGAATTTAACATTAGCTTCTGCTTCTCTTGTATCATTTCAATCTATTTCAATTCCTGGACCACTCAGGGGCACTTTTCCCCATGGAGATGCAGTTGTTGGTGAGTTCAGCACAGCAGCTTTTTGTTCTTTGGCCCATACATCTTCCTTTCCTCCTAGTACTAACAAGCATTGCTGTATTGTGTGTAAGCAGTGCGTGGGAGACGTTTAATATCCCCCTCACTTAGTCACCAGCCAGATTCTTCTGCCAGAATAGCTCACGTGGCAGGTTTTCAAAGGTCATATCTGTAGATTTTCAGGAGGAAGCAACATAGTTTCCATGATTTCCATAAAAGTAGTGCTGTTTTGACTGATGTTTAGCCTATACTTAACAGGCTTCTGAACAGCCTAATCATGTTGCCTTTTTCTTTTTTTTCTTTTATAAAAGCTTTCCTTGATATGAGAGTAAAAATCTTCTGATGTGTTAAGATTCTAGGAATAAAAAGAGACTGTGTTAGCCCATAGTGGTATTGTTACCAAGTGACTCATTAATGAAGTTTTCTGGAGCCCAAAAATAAACACAAAATGTAAACAAGAGGGGTTATTATTTCTGCTCATTCTAAAACGAAAACATACTAGGTCTTCGTGTTAATGTTAAATAAGTGTTAAAGTAGATTTAGACCACTATACATTTCACTGTACATTGCTAAAGACCTGCATGACATATTTGTCTTGATAATTTTTAGATAAAATTGTCCATGCTGTACATAACAGGTGACTTAAAGACCACAGAAATATGCAGATTAAATAAGCAAATGAAAGCACCCTGATTGGAATGTTTCTACTAAATCTAAGTGCTAGACTTAAATGAAGATAAGGAAATCTCAATTATTAAAAGAGCCAACAATACCAGCACTAAGTACAACATGCAATTTGTGTACAAATGCAGTGCCCTAATGAGTTCCAAGTGTTAAACACTGTATCAGTCACCGTGCTGTTGCTAGCACAAAATACTCGACTCCCACAGTTTAAAGGAAGAGAGGTTCATTTCAGCTCATGGTTTCAGTCCATGGCTGCAAAGCAAAGCATCATGGCAGATAGGGCTGGTAGAAGAAAGTTGTTCACCTCCTCTCAGTCAAGAAGCAGTGAACAAGGGAGGAATGGCAGAGAGGAAGAGACCAGGGACCAGATGAAATCTCCAAATCAGGCCTCTTAGCCCACTCAGACTCATCCAAAAGTATACTTTACTGATCTCGCAGGAGCTCTGCAAGACAGTCAAGTTAATAAGATTAACCATCCCGAATAAAGAACTTTGACCCCTGAAAACCATTCCATACTGGAAAATGAATGTATCCAGTTCACTAATTAACTGAGATAATGAATATGGGGCCTGGTACCAAACCCATACCCGGTACCCAAAGATGGTGACTATTGTTGGTGTAGACATCACTGCTATAGACAGTTCCTTATAACAAAAGGAACAAAAATGAACCATATGCTTCATTTCAGACCCCCAATTTAAGCACAGGAGGAGTTTGGGAATTGGAGGTTGTGAGGAAAATATGTTCTGGGATCTGAAACTGCAACTAGAGGGACAACACAGCAGACAGTGGAGGAGAGCTGGTGGAAGAGGGGCAGGGGGAGGTGGCTGTAGTAGCCGAGGCCCTAGCAGCTCTGGAAAAAGAGAGCCTCCTCATTGCTAGGATGAGCTCTATTTAATGTTACTTTCTTGTTTTGTTTTCCTCCTTTTTAATTGCCTCATATTGATTCTGAAATAAAATTTAAGAATGAATTTTCCTGAACAGACACTCCATTACTACCTCCTTCCTTCCTATTGTTACTTTTTCTCCTTCTGACCTGTTTAGACTCATTCTGAAATAGTGTAAGATTCAATTTTCCAGCAGTAATTTTTTTCTGGTAATGACTTGTTCCTAAAGGCTAGGCTTTTGCTGTTTCTATTTATTCCTATTCTTGTGGTGAAAATAGGGTATGAGTTTAAAGAAAAATTGCATACAGCAGCAGATCATATAAATCTCCTCTTGCACACACATTTGAGTGCAGATACCTCTGGAGACCATGTGCTTTAAATGATTACTTCAGGCATACAGAAAAATTTTACATAAGCCAGATTTAGTACCAGAATTCTTGCCAAAAACTTACAACCATTCTCAAACCCAACCACAGAAAGCTTTCTGTGTAATGTAGTGTACAATACTCAACACACATCCTAAATATATGCTATGAGCTTTACCTCCTACAATAAGAAATTTATGTAATGAACAGAGCAACCTTTGTCCTGGATAATACACATTATCCTTCAGAAAATAAATTCTCTTGACTTTGGGTTCCCAGTAGAAAATGTCTTCTAAAGATCTCACAAGTGGTTGTTTTCTAAACTAATTCTGGTACAATAAGTTTATCATTGTTCCTCACTATCAATGCATTACCTACCTGTGAAAGCTTTCCTTAGACATAGGAGAATAAACACACCAGCTTGTAACTCTTCAAGAACATTCTCAGCTACCTAGCAAGAACACATACCCCCACCTAATACACACCAAAAATGTCCTAGTAGTTATAAGCATTTATAAGTCTTATGCATGCATTTATGAAGTATATTAGTCATAAGCACATTTGGGAAATTTCTTCCTAAGAAGTCTATTTCTTTAATAATGTTATGTCACACAAGGCTCTGGATACTTTTTCTCAGTTACTCTTATTCCACAAGCTTTGACACATGTTATTTTGAAAAAGAAGAGAAGAATTATAGTCAGGAGACCTGGGAACCAGCACCAACATTCTGATTAATGGATATGTGATATTAAGCAATTATTCAATATCTGTAAAATGGAGATGGGATTCTATCACATTTGCTCAGATCAGAGCAACACAAAATTGCTCTGTGTGCAAAATAAGGTTAGGACATCTAGAATTGTTTTATCAAGCAATAGGCAAACTTCAGTTATTACTTTTTATGTCTTTAACCACGAGCCTGGAAGAACAGTATGGAATGATAATGCCCTGAGTTCCCTACCACAGCAGAACTAGAATT